CAGAGGTCAACCATGTACCTGGTTTTTAGAAAATATTTTTGAGAAATGACTTTGCTGCAAAGCCATGGAGAGAAAAATTCCAACTTGTTCAAAATGAGAGAGAGGGAGAGAGAGAAAGAGCACTAATAAAATTGGAAAATCAAAAGAACAAGAAAGAGACACAAAGGAACATATCTTTCACTATAAGAGTAGCAATAAAGAGAGAGAGAGAACACCATTGAAACTTTTAAATCAAAAGAGCAATGAAAGAACAAGAAAAAACCGAACAAAGGAACGTATTTTCCACTTATCTAAGAGCAACAAAGGAGAGAGAGATAGAGAGAGAGAGAGAGCAAAAGGAGAGATTGGGAGAGAAAGATTGCACAAGAAGGTTTTGTAGGGACAATTGGACGGAGAGACAAGTTTTTGGCATGAGAGAGAGAGAAACAAATCTCCGGAAACATTTTGATGAAGAAATGCTAACTCACAAGTTAGCATTTTTCCAAACCTTCTAAAATTCATGTGTAACTTTTTTTTAGGGGATTCTAGTTTTGGGATGATATTCAAATCCTAACGATCTATTTTGATGTTGTCAAACACTCCTCTGACCATATCAAAATAGAGAACTTCAATATCTTATAATATTCTAAAATGGGAAAGCTTTCTATCTTTCCCCTACAACATAGAAGTTCTATCCTCTCCTTTATCCAACCATCCATTTTTTAATGGAGGGCTAAGATTGCCCCAAGTACAATGTCATGTCTTTACACTATTTTATTTTTAATTGTTTTTCTATAAACTATTTTGATACCAAATTTTAGACGTCCATTTCTCTATTAAACTCACACTAACGAAAAAATATAAAAAAATATTTTCAATGAAATAAAATGATCAAAATACCCCTGAAAGATTCAAGGGGTATTTTGGTCATTGTTTTTTATCGATAAATTATTGTTAATATTTTTTATAGGTGTGCCCCAATGAGAAGATGACACGTACCAAATTTCATATTCAAAAAAATTATATTAAAAAAAATCAAAATAAAATACTTTGAGACGTCGGATATAAGATCAAACAGTGAGTGGCTCTCTTGATAAAAAATGGACGGCTGGATGCTAGAGGGAGGATAGAACTTCTATGTTGTAGAGGGGACATAGAAAGCCTTCCCTTCTAAAATACCCTACCCTAAATAAAGTTTATGCTTACTCGTGAATCTTTATGTTTTTATTAGTTTTTGTAGTTCTTTTTATTGCGTTTTTTGAAATTTTAGATACACTATTAGCACATATTATTGTTATTTATTTTATTATTTTCATATTTATTTCTCTTTTAAAATTTTTGTAATAATATTTATTTTTGTCTCAGAAAATCATGCCTTGGCTTAACCGTGGTGTTTCTGCTATAAGACTCTTTAAATTGTCTTTAGGAATTAACCAGTTATTAATAATTACTAAAATTTTAACTTTTTTTGACAATTTTTAAAATTTATTATATGCAATAGACTAATATAAGAACAACATTCAAACCTAATTATCTTACTTATAATATTATTAAATTATTATTTGTAGTTATTAATATTATAACAAATATAAATATCATTCACAATACCAATAATATAATTTAATAGTTAAAAAATAATTAGAATCTTAATCAAGTATTGTGAATATGTTATAATCATATAAGCATAATCATGCAATTAATATATTATTAATGATAAATAATTATAATTAATATACTTTTACATAGCACATATATTATTATTAATATGATTGAATCGATATAATAATTATAGTACACATAAGACAATACTAGTATGTAAGATGGTAAATTTTGAGAGAAATTATGCTCATGTTCCCTAAGACTATTATAAAACCTTCAACATTTTATATTTGTTTGCTCTTGTTTACCTTTTTCCCCACTTTGGACCTCCAAGGTCGGCAATGAGAAAATAGTACCTAGATTTGGATCTAATGTTGAGAATGACATAAAAATACTTGAGAAAGTGTTGACTTTGGACTTTTAAAGTCCAAAGAAAAGGTTTGTCAAAATAACCTTGGACCTTGAAGATATTAGATGATCATCTAAAGATTAATATGTTTGATTGAAGTTATTAGATGATTAATACGTCTAATGTAGTCTCCATTTCTCAGTTGTTTTACATTTTTTGTATTTCTTAACCATGCTTTAAATTATAGTTTTTTTCTTTAATGTAATATTTTTGTACAAAAATAGTTTATCATATTATTAAAATGATACTTCTTAGTTTTAAATTATCATTTTATAGGTTCTTCATGTAAATAATCATTGACTATGATATAATTTGCCAAGATATTGGAAGATTAATCGATGTACTTAAGTTTTATTAAACACTATGAGTAAATTCTATATCAGGAAAGGATTTTGATGATGATCTGAAAATTTAATAACATATCATTCAATTATTGCATATCTATGTTTTCTTATTTTCTATATCTCATCATTATAATATTCCATGCAATGCACCTAAATCCATTAGGGCACATTTGGTACGTGTGAAATATTTTGGCACAAATTATTTCATGTGAGAAAACTCCCTCGTATGATTTGGCATATATTTTTTTCCACACCAATTGATGCGAACACAATTTTCTAATACTAACTTGCAACCAATTGATGTGAAAAAACTTACTACATCTAACTACACGAGGGAGTTTTTTCACGTAAAAATATTTTTACATAAGTATTTTTACTTAATTAAAATTATTTGAAACTTAGGTCTGAAGTCATTGTTGCAATGGGCTTTAAATTATGAGTATGTTCCGTAAAATTTAGGGAAATTATCGCTAATATACCTTAACTTCAATAAAATTGGAAAAACAACCCCAAACTTCCGAAAACCCGGCCCATACCCTTTTTTCTAAATTTTTGTAATGTTTTGGACGAAAATACCCTTTATGGTAGTCTTTCTACCGTAAAGGCATTGATAGAATTACGGTACCATAAGGGCATTGATAGAATTACGGTACTTCGAGTACCGTAATACCTTGAAAATTTATAGAATTACGGTACTTTGAGTACCGTAATACCTTGAAAATCGATAGAATTACAGTACTTCGAGTACCGTAATACCAATAACTTTAATTAGTATTACGGTACTTTAAGTACCATAAAACTATAGAAGCCAATTATGATAAAAACTAATATACGGCAACCTTTTCTCGTTATTATATTTATCTCTTTTATCTCTATTTTTTTTTATGTTTATCGCTTATTTCTCACTTATTTTTTTAATATTTATTTCTTCTTTCTCTCTAATTTTTTTTATCTCTTTTTTCCCTCTCTAAATCTTTTCTCTCCCTAATTAGGATATTTGATCTTGTCCAAATTGGCTCATAGAGTAAGATTGTAGAGAGAAATAAGAGATAAAAAAGAATGTGAGAGAAAGAAGTGATAAATATGAAAAAGAATTAGAGAGAAAATTGTAAAGAGAAATAAGAGATAAAAAAGAATGAGAGAGAAAGAAAAGATAAATATGAAAAATAATTAGAGAGAGAGAAAGAATCGATAAACATAAAAGAAATTAGAGATGAAATAGATAAATATAAACAGCATGAAAAAATGGTTTACCACATTTTAATGGGTACAGGCTTTTTCTATTTATCTATTTCATCTCTAATTTCTTTTATGTTGATCTATTCTTTATTCTTTCTATCTCTACCATAAAGGCATTTACTGTAGTCTTTCTACCGTAAAGGCATTGATAGAATTACGATACTTAAAGTACCATAATACTTTAAAATATATTACGGTACTTAGAGTACCGTAATACTTTAATAGTTATCATTTTATACGGTATTTAAAATACCATTATAACTTCAATTAACAATACGTACTTTAAATACAATAAAAACTAAAACCCATTTTACTACCGCAAAAAACTAACGTATGTTATACGACACTTGTAAAACCTTTTCTCTCTATTATATTTATCTCTTTCATCTCTATTTTTTCTATGTTTATCTTTTATTTCTCTCTTTTATTCTATTTAATATTTATTTCTTCTTTCTCTCTATTTTTTTTTTATCTTTTCTTTCTCTCTCTAAATCTATTCTCTTCCTAACTGGGATATTTGGCCGTGTCCAAATTGGCTTGTAGAGTAAGATTGTAGAGAGAGAAATAAGATAAAAAAAAGATGAGAGAGAAAAAAGAGATAAATATGAAAAAGAATTAGCGAGAGAAAGAATTGATAAGAATTAGAGATGAAATAGATAAGTATAAACATAATGAAAAAAAGGTTTTACGGGATTTTAAAATGGCGTAAACCTCTTTTACATTTATATATTTCATCTCTAATTTGTTGATCTATTTTTTCTATCTCTATCTCTATGTTATACAGTATTTAAAATGCTCTAAAAAAAATTAGAGAGAAAGAGATAAATATTACAAAAATGAGATAGGGAAATAAAAAATAAACTAAAAAAAAATAGAGATGAAAGAGATAAATATAAAGAAAATATTGCCATATAACATGCATTAGTTTTTACGATGGTAAAATGAGTTTTAGTTTTTACGGTACTTAAAGTATCGTAATTGGCTTCCATAGTTTTACGGTACTTAAAGTAAGGTAATGTTAATTGAAGTTATTGGTATTACGATACTATATGTACCGTAATATATTTTCAAGGTACTGCAAGTAAGTTATTGGTATTACACTACTATAAGGACTGTAATATATTTTCAAGGTATTACGACACTCGAAGTGCCGTAATTCTATCAATGCTTTTGCGGTAGAAAGACTGCTGTAAATGATATTTTCTAAAAAGACAATCGTAAATGGTATATTCATCCAAAAAATCTAAAAGATCGGGAAAAAGAGTGTGAGCGATATTTTCGAAAGTTTGTGCTTTTTTTAAATTTTATTTAAATTAAAAAATATTAACACGATAATTTCCCTTAAATTAAAAAAAAAAAAAGTATGAATATAAAAGAATGAAAAATATAAAAAAGAAAATACTCACCGATTAGAGGAGAGGAGAGAGTTTCTATAATTTTTCGGAACGTGTCGGCAACGAAAGGGCAGCTCGTCACCTACCTTCCTTGGTGTCTCTCTGCTCTTTAAACTTCACACATCTCTCTAACACCGCACTTAATGCGGCATCTTGGGTTCAAGATTGAGAGAGAGGGAGAGATATGGCTCTGAATGCATTCTACAATTCATGGCAGCTGCCCCCATTGCTTCTGAATGATCAGAAGCTCGATTTGGAGGCCAAAGCTTTGACCTTGAGCTTCAAACCCAAGGAGAACAATGGCTCCTCCACTTCACCTAACGTTAATGATCCCCAGACCCCTTTGCCACCAGTTGAGTTGAAACCATTACTACCCAATCCTCCTATTGAGTTGAGGAAAGAGTTTATCTCCCTACCAAGTACGTTTCTCTCTTCTGCTTTCGGGTATTGGTCGATTCTGGCTTTTGCATGTCTTCCTATGCGTTTTCTCCGTTTAATCTCTTTCTACTTTTTTTTGTTTTTTGGGCAATGGGGTTCAAATGCATGTTTAGTTTATTGGTTTTTTTTTTCTCCCCCTTAATTTATTATGGTGTTTTGTTTTTTTGGTGATTTTATTTGGTTTAATGCAGGACCATTGTCTGTGACTGATCTTGCTGCATGTCCTAGCCATGGCGCCCCAGTTCGAGTAGCTTATCAGGTGCTTTTTTTTTTTTTTTTTTTTTTTGACTTTTCTCAATTTTGAGATATCTGTTCTTCTTTTTAGTCATTTTATTTTCTGGTGATGGTGTTAATCCTTGTTTCATTCAATTATGGACTTATGGTGTAGGGAGTTCCGGGTGCTTACAGCGAGGAGGCTGCTCTCAAGGCATACCCCCAGTGTGAAGCGGTTCCTTGTGATCAGTTTGAAGCTGCATTCAAAGTATAATCAGTTTGTATTACTTGATTTTACATCCGCAATTCACACTGCTGAGTCTCTCTATATCTCATTTTCATCTTTGGCAGGCGGTAGAGCTGTGGCTTGTAGATAAAGCAGTTCTTCCCATAGAGAACTCTCTAGGAGGAAGCATTCATCGTAATTATGACTTGCTCCTTCGCCATAGGCTACACATTGTTGGGGAGGTGCAAATTCTTGTGAACCACTGCCTTCTAGGTCTGCCTGGAGTGAGAAGGGAGGAGCTAACACGCGTTCTGAGCCATCCCCAGGTCAAATTATACTTTCCCCCATCTTGAGTTCTCATTCTTCTAATGATGGAATGTTGATCCATTGCTCCATATGTCTATCTATCCGTAGTTGCATGTTACAAGTTTGAATTCTGTATGTTCACAGGCACTTGCTCAATGTGAGATTGCACTGAGCCAGTTGGGAGTTGTCCGTGAAAGTGTGGATAATATTGCCGGTGCTGCGCAGGCGAGTGTATTACATAAGATCATTTTGCTATGATTACCAGAAGAACTAAGCTTGGCCTTGTGTCATCATTAAACAATTTGGTGCACTTGTCCCATATTTTAAATTGGTGGAATTTTTGAACCAGCTTGTAGCTACACAGAGGTTAAGAGATACGGGTGCGATAGCTAGTGCTCGAGCTGCAGAGTTGTATGGGCTTATTATATTGGCAGAAAGAATTCAGGTGAGAGATTTGATTTCTTCTAATGGACGCCCTTATTTCAAATGCTATTTTATTGAATTTTCCACAGGAAAACTGGTTATAAGTCTTGAATTTTATGGTTTTTTCATTCCATACTTTGAGCTGGTTCAAATTTCTTTGATGGTCTTATATTGCCCACAGGATGATTTTGAAAATGTTACACGGTTTCTGATACTGGCTAGGGAACCTATAATTCCAAGAGGAGACCAGCCTTTCAAGGTAAAACTTTCAAGTTTCGAAGCTTTCTTGAGATTGCAAATGATGTTTGTCTTGTTTTGTAAAGTTTGTTTTGTTTCTTCTCACAGACAAGCATAGTCTTCACTCTTGAAGAAGGTCCTGGGGTACTTTTTAAAGCATTGGCAGTGTTTGCCTTGAGGGAGATAAATTTGACAAAGGTTGATCTGATCTATAATTTTGTTCTCTCTTAACTTCTGTTCTGAAACTTTTATGCATATAAATTGGACAATCTGTCCTGGTTTTTATTATGTTTTCTACTGCTTGCATTGGTAGATTGAAAGCAGACCCCAAAGAAAAAGACCTCTGCGAGTTGTGGATGACTCTAACAATGGGAGTGCTAAGTGAGTTTTATTTTCTGCTTTGGAGTCTGAATTATCGACTTTGGAATTTATCTTTGAACCATTACTATAGTTTGTTTCAAATGATTGGCAACTACGTGACCTCGTGTGAGACATTCTTTGCAAGCATTTGGCTATAGATAGCATCCTACTAATTTTTTTTTCTTTCGTATAGGTATTTTGATTATCTATTTTACATTGACTTTGAAGCATCAATGGCTGATCCTCGTGCACAAAATGCCTTGGGCCATTTGCAGGTCTGTGGTATCATTCTGTCTTATCTCATGGAATCTTCGTCTTGTGTTCTTGCTCTTTTCCAATTTATTTCACAAGAACCTTAAAGATTATTGACCCAGTATTGTTGTTACGATTGCTAGGTTCATGTGAGAAAAATATTGTTTACACATATGCATGGTGCGCTCCCTGCCATCATTGTAACTTTACTCATATGCTGGCAGTCGGAATGTAAAAGCGGATCCTGCATCATTGTTTCTCATAAGACTTGGCTCATGTCCTTGTCTCATGGCCTTAAGTCATTTGCTGAGAACCCTTGTGTTCTTGGTTCCATATGTCACTGCTGGGTTGTATCCTGACTGTCAAGTTACATGGTTGCATGTAGGACAATTTTCATTCCACATGCAAGGTTTACTTGTCTGCAAGTGTGTAATAATAAGCCTATAACATGCCTTGGTATTCTACACTACCTATTTATTTGGATAATGATGTGGCTATGTAAATGATGAGTATTTTTTATCATTTACTATGGTGAATAGGGGTTTTAGACTTTTTGTGGACTCTAGGACACCTTGACTGGCAGTCCAAACTTTTCACGTAAAGATGCTGATCGCTGTGCACTGAGAAGAAGGTTAGGTCGCTTTCAGATTGGTAACTGAAAGTTGACCTGGTAATGCAATCTGGCCCTCCTTAGTAAGTTGATCAGCTGTGTACTTTGCCCTATCCTTGTGTGCTGGAAAGCAATGTGCAGTGGTCTTCTGAGTTCAGTGATCTCTTTAAAAACATGCAAAAGAGACCTTGGGCAAGGGAAATTTGCATTATCTCAATTAATGACATTCTTAGAATCACCCTCCACCACTTAGGAGTAGCCCCAAGAAATGTCGAGCAACTTGAGGCCCTTTAGGAGAGCCCTTGCCTCTGCATCAGTAGCTGTCGTTTTGCTGACTGGAGCTTAGAAGTACAAGGATATTGAATGAGTACTATTTCTGCCCCCTAGCCCAGCCCTTTCCGGTTTGCCAAAGGAGCACCCATGAAAGTTGACTTATGACAGTGCCTCGCTCCGGTAGAAACTAAAACGTGGACCTAGGGATCTTCCAGGTAGTGGACCTGGAAAATGCCAAGATCTAGTCTGACAGCTGGGGAGGGAACTCCTCCATAACCATATACCAAGGACCTCCTATATGATCATTTCCCATTAGATTATATCTAGCGTATTACTGTTACAAGTATACAACTTCTTATAATACATTTGTATACTATGTGAATGAAATGATTTTTTTTAATAACAATAAATATGCACTTTAGCTTATACTTTAATTTTTAAAGAGAAGGCAACCACTTCTTGTGTGTGCCGATTTCTGTATTAGCTATGTAATGCAGTCATCATTTCTCACAAACAAAATATGAATTCATCATTTCTCACAAACAAAATATGAATTCATCATTTCTCACAAACAAAATATGAGTTTTAGCTATACTCACTTGAAACACTTCAATTCATATGGATGTTATTGTTCAGCCGGTAGCCTCAAGATAAGCAGGCGGTTGTTATTTTAAATTTATTCTATTTCAAAATATTAATAATGCCGTGAGGGAGGGTTCAAATTCCATTGGTTTCGTCAAATGCACGACATTGTGTTGCCTTTCAAAACTCCACTAAGTGGTAGCTCCCTTTTTCCCTCCTTTCACAATAGCATGGTCATGCAAAAATGGCTCTAATAAGCAGTGCTTTACATCCTATTTGGAAAGGGGTCCCATTCCCTTTCCATCCTTAATGTGTGGAGCGCAATCGCATGTTGCCACTAATTAATTACCTTAACCAACACTGATCAAACGATGCCTAAGTTTTGTTCATCTCTTTTTAGTGAGTTACTTGTAATGTCTTCCTTACCCTATTTAACTTGCGTATAAATTAAGACCAGCATGGGAAAAATAGAACCGGAATGATTAATCAGACATGGGCTCAGAAGCGGTTCAACCGGCCTAACCGATAAACCAGTCGGTTCAACCATTCTAACCGGGCAAGTCTCGGGCAGTCCAAAATGTTTTAAAAAAATACAAAAAAAATATATAATAAAATATGAAAAGTATATTTAAAGAATAATTAAACAAAGCTCGTCCAAATGAAGTTGAAAATTAATGAAAAAAAAAAAAATCTTAAAGAATTGATTTGTGCCTAGGGGTAGTTTTGAAATTTTCCGAAAAGATGGGAAAATGTAAAAATAAATTTTAATGACCAAAACTATTTCCAAATTTTACCATTATGATGAAAACATTAAAATAATACATTACAAACAAAATCCCTTATTGTTTGGGATTTTATATAATTTTTTTAAAAAATACCCAGCTGGTCACCAAAACCGGCCGAAACAGGAACCGGTCTCCATGCGGTTACCAGTTAGAGCGGCCAATTTTTCCAACAATGATTAAGACCCATGTATCTTTAGATCTTGCAACTACCTTTTTTGGTAAGTGGCCAATTTTTTTCCAAAATGCAAATGTACCTTTATTATCTTCCATTTTAAGATAACTCATATATCCATTGTGAGCTTGGTCTAGTAGCTATATTTTGGATAGTGATTTTCTTCACAATATTCGAAATCTTCTCAGATTTAGGAGCTCCTTTTCATATTAGTGATTTGTATCCAAAATTTCAGAGTTGATCTAGATCTAGTAGCTACTTTTTAGAAAAGTGATTTTCTTTCCAAAATTCAAATTTGATCCAGATCTAGTAACTACTTTTTAGTAAGTGATTCTTTCCAAAATGTAAATTAAATCCTGGTCTAGTAGCAATCTGTTGATAAGTGTTTTCTTTCCAAACTTCAAAGTTACCTTCAACATTTCCCATTTTTAGGGTTAACTTATGTATCGACTGGCAGCGAACATAAATGACCTTTATACCTTTGATTGCATTAGCCTTTCCTTTTTTGCATATACCGTATTGATAAGAGTGTCAGTCCATTGATCAAATCCCTTGTTAAGTGGAATCTTGATGCTATGTTGTCAAGAGCGCGTCTCAAGGCATATCCATGTAATAAATGCAGAACCTCCCTGAGAGGGAAGGGCAATAAAGGTGCTCCCGTTAACTAGAAACTCAAGCTTTCTCGCTTATCTTTGAGCCTTTCTTGCTTCTGGTGAGGGTCTTGCAATGTTCTCCAGCTATAATTACTGCCTACCTTGAGTTTCTGGAAACATTGGAATTTTGAAAGAGAAAATCCATGCTCTGAAGACGAATTAATCTTGAGACTCAGTGCCATTATCCAAAGGATTAAATCACAAGTGGCACTAGGGGGTATACAAGTTGAACTCTAACAGGTCAATCAAGCAATATAAGGCCAGAAAGGTAACAAGGGGGTTTACTTGAAAATATGAGCTGGATTATAAAGAAGCATATTTGCTCGTCAAAATAAAAATCTCAAAAATTATGTTGTTCATATAATTGCTTTTGCATGAGGTAGACTTCAAGCATGCATTTTTTCAAGAATACTTTGAAGAAGAGGTGGGATGCATCCACTGCAGTTCTCCTCAGATTGGGTAGTAAGCTTAGGATGCCATTTAGAGAAGGCAATAAATCGGTGAAAAATACACCTGTGCGCATGGTTTGTGATGTCAAGTTCAAGAATGACAAGTTATGGTTCGAAAAACAAGCCACAACAACCACCTCATATCTTTTCAGGGAAAATGGGTGCTTTCTAGGCAGTTGATAATATCATACTCAAAATGGATGATTCCCAGTGTGTAACAGAAGAAGAGGCACGCTTCCAGATCAAAAAGCCTTTGCATCTATTTGAATCTTGAACTATTTATGGTGGTCAAGTTGGTGCTTTGCTGAAATGGGCACACTGTGCTATGCCTTTGTGTCTTACCCAACACTGTAGTCATTTTTTTTTTATGCATGAATATTTGGCTGATCTGGACACATCCTAGCCCTTCTCTACCTTCATTTCAGTGAAGAGACTACTTCCATGCAACTTGTGTAGTGGACTAATACTCTTATTTTTTTGGTGCAATTTGTCAGAAGCAGTGTTGATTCCTGGCCGATTTATTGTTTTATTAAATGATGACAATGATTAATCAATAGAACTCACCCAGATATTGAAATCACTCTTTAGAAGTGAACCTACTAACTTTTTGAAATTACTCACATTTCTAAGTGTCATACATGTGTCATCTCATTGACGTGTTGACATGTACCAAAAACCCTTGGCATGCTTGTCCAAGTTGCAGAGATTTGATTAGTCACACGTATTCTTCCAAACTTTACAATGGAAGCCATGTGGAATGATCTTCTTCCCACTTACGTCTACTATATCTTCTTTTATGAGGACATGATCAAGAAATCTGTGCAATAAATTAGAAATTTTTGTATTTATGGTTGCATGGATGATTGTCTATAGAAGTGATCCACCATCACTATATTCAAAATTAGAAGTAACCTATCTACTAAGACAAGGGAAAATAAATTTTTTTATTAATCGGTGTTCATTGCTTCCAACCTATCTCTGGGATGCAGCTGGTAGTTACACATTCTCTTGGGGAAGCAGCCCTTGATTCAACACTCATATATTTTTTGGTGGGAGATTGAAAGAATGATCATGATCCAGTTATGGCTTAATGCGAAGGTGGGAGAAGTCCCATATATATCTGGAGACATGCATGCAATTGTGCCGCGAGAAGTGGCAAACTCTTCCAAAGAGGGATGAAGGACACCAAGTCTGGTGTATACCGATGAAGACGATATTTCTGGCTTCAAGGAAATTGTAAGGAAAATATGTTGAGTATGTAAACTAGGGTGACCAACATCAACATAGTTTTATTTGGCATTATACCTGGTTTCTGCTTTGTATAAAGGCTGGCTGTAACCTAAGTAGCAGAAACTACCTCAAATCTAGGGATAAAACCTTCATAAAACTGGAATCTGGCACACCGCTACAGAATGACCAGCATAAGACTGGAATTGAAAGCAAATCACAGTGAAGATGCTTGAAAGCAAGAGAGAGGTCTATAAAACTTGATAATATGG